GCGGTCGTGGGGTGAAGACGTCAGCGGCGACACAACAGTTACGACATGGAGTGGTTGACCCAAATCCGTCTACACATTACTATTCAAAAATCCTTCACTTTTCGAAAGACATCTTCGCCACGTGTAGTTGTGCTCAATGATTCTGAGAACAAGTACTCTTCTTTGAAGCGGTCGCCTTTTATGTACCGAACATAGACCAGTAGCTGGGAACAGGATGCAACGTCGGTCGACTCATCTAATTGTATTGCAAAGAGAGGACTTGAGTTTATTTCCTTGAGCACCTTATTCAAAATATTTTTATTCATATCCTCGATACGACTTTTGATTGTGTCGTTAGAAAGTGATATTATGCTTATCTTTTCTGCACGTTGCTCTCCAAGAAAGAGCTTCACGACATCCATTATGTAAGGTTTTATGAGATCCTCTCTTATAGTATGCGGTTTCTTGTTTTTGGTGATTCGGAGAGCGACGCAGTACGACGACCAGCTTCAGTTGACTGAAGAAGGGAGCCCGATGTATTCAGGAGCGAACTTTTGAGCGCAGCCTCTTTCCTTTTGAGGAATGTTATATCTTTTCCTACAAACTGAGAATGACTTCGGTCGAAGTACTTTTTCAATTTGCTGGGTTTCATGATCTCCCCCGTGAGCACTTTGCTGCACAAAACACATTGCGGCTTCTCAACATTTTTATCGACAAAATTGATGAACACCACTGCAGAAAAGCTTCCTTGTAGGACCGCTTTTTTCCAGAAGACATGGTTCCTGCAAAAAATTAGGCAACTAAATGACACATATAAATATGAATTTTTCGTGATTTAATATAAGTGACATTATCGTAAACGTTTGCAGATAAACTCATTATTTAGATTCTTGGTGGTTTTGTGAGTAGTGTAACTCATTATTGTCGATAGCAAAACCACTGAATTAAATCACTCACCTGCTACGGTTTCTTGTCAGAAACAACTGTAGATGAATGGGATCAACCCAACACGTAATGGTCACTGGCGTCCAATCCGCTGATTTTGCCTTCTTTTATGACCCAAAACGCGGTGTTCTGCGCACTTTCAAACGCCTGCTGTTATCTCCATTCAAGGCATCATATGGCCCTTTCGTGTGTGATTCATGATCAAACATGAACAGATATCAGTGCCTTCTCACGTGTTGCATTCCTCCATTCCAAGTCATTCTTGCATGATAACTTGACACCACCACTCTGTATCGATACGTGGTGAACACTAATCGCCCGTTTTGACACTTCTAACCTGGAAACAACCGTGCGTCACCTTGCCTGGTCGTCTGACCAAGGCTCAACTTTCCAAACAGCCTAGTTTTCCGAAAAGAAACTGTATCCACATTATCTCAGGCTGATCATGAAAGAGTACGACGCAGCGGATACCAGCACAAAAAGGACCAAAAGTTGAACATATCACTCGGGCATGGCTCACTGGAAGCCGGTCCCGTGTCACTCACTTGCGCTAGACATCAGATATCGCTTCAACCCCGTACGAACATACAAACTTACGTAAGTGCATACATACTTTGCAAACACTGTGAATACTCATACGTCCCTACGCGCTGCCAGATACGAAAGTTAGGCCAGCAACGTGATCAAAACATGTCATTTTTTCTAGACAATTAGCAAAATGTACACGCATATGTCGAATAGCATTACGACATCCTACAACGCTAATATCCTTGGTGGCTGCTCCGATAATGCGTTCAAGAAACTGCAGATTCCATTCTATCTGCGTCATGACCTTCTGGGGATTCCCGGCCAGAAGTTCCTCGTAGTGCACTCTCATCTCATTCTTCACTCTGGCCTTCACCACCTGCCAAACATTCTCAATCGGATTGAGGAACGGAGAGTATGGGCTCAATCTCAGTATGGTTACTCCCTCGTATCCATCTACTGAGGATAATAAATCCAGTCGTGTGTGACATGATGTATTATCACATACCACGACAACCTGCCGGAGCTTCATCTTCCGTTTCAGGTAGTCTAAATAGCTTCGCAGCCATTCAAGAGATAGGTGACCTGTGAATGAGCCTCTCCGAGTGGTCATCGACACTTTCCCTTCCATTGTGAGTGCACCGATCATATGCAAATTGAGGCTTCTAGTGTTGGCAACTTTGCAACAGGCCCTCATTCCTCTGGGCGCCCGACCACGAGTACGTTTGCAGTAAACGTTGAAGTTCGCTTCGTCAATCTAAATGAAGAACTTGCCATCGCTCCCAAGTTGGAGAAACTGCTGAACTAATTCCCTGCGTATCCCATTGGTTCGCTCATTGTTCTTTCTGTCGGGAACCTGATAGATGTTCTTCATAGTTATCAATCAATCATCTAGGTGCCGTGCGATTGTTGACTTCGAAATGTCCTTGCCATTTCTACTCGTACTCCCATTTCCCGTAGTGTAAGAGTTGAGTCCCTTGCGATCCAATCCACGATGTCATCTTCGTCTTCCTCCTCCGACGAATCCAGGAGTAGACTGTTTGATATTTGACGTTGTTCATAGTTGCCACCAGCTGCTGCTCATCACCGTTGACGAAGGCGCCGAAAACTCGGTCACGAATCTCTGGTGAGATAATCTGTCGGACGCAAGAAGGCATGCCGACGACGTTAGTATCCTAGACATGGTTTCGGTCGTGCGCTTATGTTTCAGCTGTTCGTCGCTCTCAGACCAATTGTAATCCAACGTTTCGGGCGTGAGGGGGGCGCATACAAGCCGGTTGCACCGCCGAAGTGCATACCTCCATGGTTCATTCACAAGTCTCACCCAGTCAGCTGGCAGCGCGCCCACCTCCCCAGACTGACGCACGGAACCTTGGCATCCGGCCAATGAGAACACACTTAAGGTCAGAGGATTGGCTTTGAGCGGCTGGCGAATCGCACAGGGTTTCGCAACATTTTGGACTTTCTTTGCAGAACTTTGCGCCTTCTTTGCCAAATTTTGGACCTTTTATGCAACCTTGCGGGAAATGCTAAGTTCGCAATCGACTCCATACTTCGACTCGGCGAACGACAGCCTGACCATAGCCACGGGAGCCGATAGAGGCGTCACTGGTTGCTGTGACTAATGACTGGTCACTGATGACTACTCCAAATTGCATAGGTAGTTAGCGACATGTTTTGTTACGGATGATTTTGTTATTAAACTTGTTCGGAGACCGATTGATGACCCAATCCTCGTACTCATATTTACCCCGAAGATTTACCCCTTTGGGGGTAATTATCCCCAGGTTGGGAACCCCTACGCTAATCGGAATGCCGGCCAGCATTAAATGAACTTCGACCGTTTTCGATTATCAAATGACATTATATCTTGAGTGCCTCTGTATGAAACCTAACCATTCCACTAATGGCACGTAACCGCTGATGAGAATACGCGAAATTACTGAATTCAGATTATTCTGTCGAAATATTGTTCTTGCTCGCCACTTCGGAATTTTTCAAGGGAAAGTCATGTATGAGATTACAACTCCAGTGACATCGTCAGTGACCTCATCCGCTCTAGTGTTCAAGCTGACATCGGTGTGAGTACAGCTCACGCTGGCACCGCCGACTGTCTCGATGACCTCACAGTTTTGGAACACTAGGGTGAGCGCGGATTGTGCGATCAACACACCAGCATGTTGTAGAATTTGTGGCGGTTCCCCGTCACTTGATTAATGTTATAAAACTTCGCGTATAGATGCGGTGTTAGTGTGTCCACCTTGGCTGCACTCGCCTCCTTCTGATTATCTTCCCTCCAGTATTGACACCATAAGATCTAGCTCCGGCCTTCGCAGTCAACAAACCTGTTACGACTACCGAGAAGGACTGAGCACTTGCTTGATTCCGCCTTGAAACTCAGAAAACGAAGGCCACAGCGCAACGTGTATTGATACAAAGACCGGACGAATGTAGAAAGAAAAACCCACCAGAACCAGTCGTTTACAGTCGAATACACATTTGGTTAAATAGGACCCCGGAGGCACGAGTGGTCTGGGTTTTTGTGTGAAACAGGCGACAGGAACAAAATGTACCACAGCACAAAAACACGGTGTTCGGATTGTGGACACGAATTGTTCCGATGTAGAACATGGTTTTGTCTTGTAGAATAACGCGTACTTTTTTGGACAACATTATGTTCCACTTTTGTGCACAGTTCCAAAAAGTTACTGACAATACACTGGCACAGCCAAATTATACTTCCTGAACATTTCGTCGCTTGTGTTCGTCATGACACTACATCTTCCTCCCGCAAAAGAAATGTCAGTCGTACGAAGGTTTGTGTGGGTCTACCTGTAGACGCGTAGTTGGCCCCCGGATCCGATCAGTAGGCCTTCGCTGAAAGTTCGCTCCTCTCGGAACTGTTGCACACTCCTCTTCAGACACGCGTGGGATGGATTATATGTGGTCTCTGGAATACTAGTGGGTCTCGACTGATTTGCGTGTTTAGTCCATATAAAATCACCTACCTTGATTTTGTAGATCACCCTTCCTATTTGGTTCTGAATCGTACCAGTTGTCCATAGCGGCTTACGCATGCGATAACCTCTGACCAAGACCTTTTGTCCTGCGTGAAAATGACGTTCCTGTGTTCTATTTCTTCGATTATACCACCTCTCCATTCTCATATTTTTCTCCTGTGGAATAGTGTTCCTCGGAAGCAGCAGCGAGTTCACTTTTTCTTCCCATGAGAGCCTCTGCGGGCGACAGGTTGTTTGGCACTTGAGGGTTTGGGGCTGATCTGTACATGACGGCGACGTTGGCGCCGCATTGGGCAAACCCTACTCAGCCAACGGCAATTCGGCCTCATATCGGATTGCGGATTCCGCAGGCTCTGAACGGAACAACAGGGCAAGTGATGCTCACGAGTTCTAAAACGATGGGAATGTATCCTCCTTGTCTAGACTGAACACGGATCCGTTAGAGACCGAAATTCTACTCTCGAGAGAGGAAATTATTGTTGCGGTAACAGGCAGCTCAGACCATTTTGGAACGCTGAATCACTGGCTCAAATGCTGTTGTTTCGGATCACGGGAGAGCACGATTCGGTGTCGGAACTCCTGCTCGCGTTACACCAAGTGTCTTGCCGAGTTTTGGCCGCAATGCCTGAATGTGTGGTGCGTTTTCTTTTGCTCATTATCGGTTTTTCCCGCCATCCAAGCGAGGGTAGCACCACTGAATCCGAATTACTTTATTCCACCATTATGGTTCCTCGACATCACATGCTTCCTGTTTTTCAACCTCTTCTCCATGCTTGGGTGTATTCTGTGCAACTGGGTGCAGTTCCCCGGACCACGTCATCTGTGGATCGTCGTTTGGACGTGAACCTTATTTTTCATCCCCTTCTTTCTATTCTGTAACTTTGGTTTGGCCGAACCCAAGCTGCCGGTGTTGGTTGCCAACGATCACGTGTACGTGTTCGCGACCGTTGTGTTCGCCTTCACAAACGGTTACCTGCCCTGTTTAGCTATAATGTAGGCTCCGAAGAACGCCCCTCCGGAACGCACCGAACTTGCTGGCATACTAGCTGCCTTCTTCCTTATTCCTGGAGTCTGTCCTGGCGTGTACACCACTCGAGCCCTTGTCATACTCACTGTCTAACTGGTTCTGGTGTGTTTCCTTCTACTTTCGCCCGGTCTTTGTATCAATACATGTTGCACTGTGGTCTTCGCTTTCTGTGTTTTTCAAGGCGGAATCAAGCAGGTGCTCAGTCCTTCTCGGTAGTCGTAACAACACCTTTCTTGCATCGCTCGTTGACACCCGGTATTGGTTGAATGCACACTTACTCGTTTATTGAGCTGAACTAGCGCTCGGGTACCGCTGTCGTAATACTGTTTCTGATTTGTCATCCGTTTTGCTTAATTCCGTTGGCAAGTCCGGGTGTGAAATTGCAGCCAACGCAAGCATTAGTGTATTTGTCCTTCTGCTGTACAGAAGTTGAACTGGACTGAGACCTATGTTCGTGCTATAACTGCCTCTTGGTTACGCCACGTTTTGACGAACAGGTTGCAACTCTCCTAGTCGGTCGAACGAACGTGGCTTGGAACTATTTCACGCACGACAAGTAACCAAGAAAAATCGAAGTTGAACGACCCGAGAGACTTAGACGCAAAACCATTACCAAGCGCGAGTTGTACGGGCTCCTAGACCGAAGGCAATTTCACACGCAGCTGCCCAAACTCGAGAGAACAAGACAAAAAGATAGGCTTTTCGTTTAAACACTTTTACCGGCCAGGATCAAGGCGATTACAGAGCAGTCCTGCGTTTCTTTTATATGTCGATGGCAGCAATGATTTGCTTAAGCAGACCGTGGAAGCAACTGAATTGGTACCATGCAACTATGCCGACGGAACATGTTAGAATGTGAACGTTGGCAGATGCGGAGGCTGGACTGGAAAACTAAATGTTTCTTAGGTAAAAATGGCTGAATGTTTTATGACTGAAGAGAGATTGGCAGGAAAAGGAATGCTTTTTAAGGTACAAAGGTCAATCGAAACGGGAATGTCTCACTAGTTGGAAAGCTGATCGAAACATGCGCACTTGTCTGAATGGAGTCTCATTGCCTTCCCTGGTTTAAGCTTAGGTTCATTATGGGGACGTTGGGTCCTCATAACAGTTCGCCGATGGCATGTTACGAATTTCCAACAGCATCAGATCTGGATCCTCATGAGTGCTTCTAGCCTTCGACGGCAGCTTCTTGGTTTGTTTGATCGCTGCCTCCGCTTTTTCATTAGACTGGTTGGGATACGGGGTGGTTTGTCGATGCGGATATTCTCACTTGTTCGAGAACGTCTGGAATGCAGCACTAGTTCCACCGGTATTCCTCATCTGGCAAACTGATATCTATGCTTATTGATGACTGCTTCCGTGGTGGTAGTGATGGGCGGATTGATCTCGAAATAGTCATTGTAGTATTCTGCTGTGCTTAAGTAGTCTTTTCTGTTGTCACGGAGCAAGTCATCTGCTACTTTCTGCCATGGTCGATCAGGGAACTTCATGCACCATCACTGTTTCTCTGGCTTGGAGAGCCAGGTGGGACCGGCAGGCTGAACAACTTGTTACTTTATCTCGAATTTGGCCTGTCATCCCGGACCCGAACATCAGTCCGCGTGCTCTGCTAATGCTGTAATTGACACCCATATGGACTTGAGGAGTGTGTTCTAGCTTAATTAATCATATAAATTTTCGCGTATGGATGTGACATTAGTGCGCCCACCTGTTGTTTGCTGCTATATTGGTTGGCTATTTTGGAAATATTTGAACATTGTTGACGCTGGTTTGGTTGCAATTGCAAATCTTTCATGTTTGCAGATTTGGTGGAATCGGATCTTTTCCAGTTAAGCCCCGCCAAAATGTTAAGCCCCGCCACCCAAAAAAGATTATGAAAAGGGAGGATTTGGAACTTGAACTTTTACTCTCTATTGAAGAGGGTGAAATTGAGACAAGTCATTAATAATTTGCATGAAAAGGTCCATTTTTCGGTGTCTTTGCCTCCAAACGAACTCACACAGGTAGCTGTCCACTAAAGATCGGTGTGTGCCGCATTGGCGCTTGTTCTACATCTTGTAAATGTACCAGAGAGATTCGATGGTGTGAGCTCCAGTCGTTGGATCCCCAAAGTTTTCGGTATGATTAACAGTTTGATGAGAATAACTCATGCCAATCATCGATTCAATGCCTTGGTATGATGCCCACATATCGGAAATGATAATTGAGCCGGGAGCGATGCAGGCCTGGATTGTGTCCAGCAGAGTGGCCGCAGTTCGATCTGGCACTGCATACAAGAACACTTCTTTAGTCTCCCGGAAAATCCCTCCGAAAATCCACTGCTGGGGAAGGACTCGCCCTGCATGGTTTTTACGACGTGATATTAGGGTTTCATCGATCTCGACATGTAGACCTGGCCCGCCGACAATCGTTGGAGTCTGCAAAAGCTGCCAGGCGCAAATTTCACGCAGAAAGTTCTTCCAGTCGACAGCGGTCGCGTGGCCAATAGATAACTCCTCTGAGCAGAATTTGATTGTTGTCAGATTTTTGGACCAGCAATAAATGAATAGGATTATTGTCCTGAAATCCACCCTAGACCGCTACAGCCAAGTTCCCTTTCGAAGACCGATTTCTTGCCGACACTGTCGGGCATCACACCTCCACCTGTCAAAAACTGTTGTAAGTGTCATTTGGTGTCCTCGTCTGCATAAACGTTGATGATGAATCACTCCATGGCTTTGCAAAAAACGTATTGCTGTTTCCTTGTCATGAACGACCGCCGAAAGCGTCAGAAAGTTCATGTCAGGTTTTACGTGCGAAGGTAGAAACTTTTTGGACAAAAATGACCTTAGAAGCGGATAAGGAGTGTTTTTATGGGGCACGTTCACATGCATTACGTACACTGGAGCTGGCAAACAGTGGCGGGGCTCAACTTTTCACGCGTGCCCTTTTTGCACTATTGGTGGGGCTTGACTTTTCAGGTGTACCGTTTTTGCCTTAGTGGCGGGGCTTAACTTTTTGCGCGTGCTCTTTTTGCATTAGTGGCGGGGCTTAACTGGAAAAGATCCGTGGAATCTTTTGTTATGCAGTTACGCCTTTGTTGTTGTTTTTCTTTGAAATCGGGTTATTTCACACATCTTATTATTTAGTCCCTTACTGTGATAAGCTAATTCTTTTCCTGGTTGTGTACTAGTTAATATTCCATAGTTTCCATATTTTTGCATCTTTTCAGAATTTGCATATCTTTTCTGTAAGGATCCATTGATGAAGAGAGCGAAGGAAAGCAGTACAGCATCCCGTAAAAAGAAGAGTGACCTTGTCAGTGTGTGCGTTCTAATCGTGCAATCCTGTGCTCTGTGGGTTAAATTTGAACTTATCCTTCAGATTCTTGTGCCACCTCTTCGGAAGTACGCTCTATCGATTCGGATCACCGAGCTCTATCCAACGGCGTCTAGATTTTTGAAGTAAGTCCAACGACACGCTGGTACATCACAAACGAACTCTTTGGAAGTCTATTCACTAAGGCCAACGTGAGTAACTTTGCTTATTTGATTTTCATCAGCACCTTTGAGTTACCATACAACAAAGCTTATTTAAGGATGTCAGACATATAACTTAGTACTGTGCACCACCGTATACCATAGCTACAGGCTTTTGTCATCTCATGTTACTATCATACTTTATATGCATTTCACTACACAAAGCTTGTGTGATTTTGGCTACCCGTGCGCATAGTGACGCAACACTACCAAACCCGCTGACACGGACCTCGCTGACTGGAGCAGACAACTGAGACAGCCCAAAGGCGTGACCAGCGCAATCTGAAAGCGCATACGAACGACTGATCCATGGGCCGGAGAAGTTTGTCGACCGGGAATCCAGTGAGAAATCCATGGTCATTCGTGCTCAGACAAGCGGGGAACAAAGATCATCACGAAAATCACGTTCTCGTTCTGTGCCAATTCATAGGACGCAACAACTGTAAACATTACACGTAACGGAGGTAACAGCGTATCGATAGATAGATTGTGGTTCTGTGACTTATGTTCAGATAGTCTCATAATTAAGATTTTTGGCTGTTACATCGGCAGAGCAAAACGAACTGATCGCGGTGTTGGGAAGGAAAATCTCAGAACTCGAGTTGCAGAATAACGTATTACGTAGCCCGAATCCCAGACCCGTTAAAAGGCAAAGCCCTCCAGCAACAATGCAACACAGTCCAGCGAAAGGCAAACACCATTAGTGACAAACAGCAGTGAAAACAAGCCACTGATCCTAGTTTCGGACACACAACACACATCAGTACCCAGTGTGTCCAATGTGCTTGCGAGTGCAGCCTGTTGATCTATTTATCTTAGAGCGAGAACTTTGAACAGCGTCTGGGAAACGGGACAACCTAGCCTTATAAGGGACTGTTGCTGATAGGCCTCCAATGGGTGGTACGGTAAGGTAGCTGTAGGTGGTTCGACTCCAGTGGCATTACGGCTGCTGTCGATTAAGCTGGGAACTATAGAAGGTAGGATAGTAGTGGGGGTTGGGAGGGGAGTAAGAGCAACAAATGCCAGCAGTAGCATGATTTTGTTTATTCGACCTACTCTATGCAGGAGATAAGCCGGCCCTTGATGAGCTGCGCGACGGCTGATGCAGCATGTAGTTAGAGTTTAGGGAATTTGTCATGGTTGTATGTGGGCTGAGATCTGCCAGGGCGCTCAAACATTTGACGAAAGCCTTTGACTCAAAAGCCTGTCCGCAAGGTGGCAGGGAAGTGACGACGAGTTAGTTTTACGGAAATGAACGCCATCCCATTTCAAACCCCCAACCTGGAGAACTAGAAGAATGAGATTGTCTACCCTCTAACCATTGACCAACCTGG